GTAAATAATGGGTTGCAAACACGATGTGAAAAAACGTGTTACTACTTTTTGTTGTGTGGCTTAATAGTTCTGTTCATGTTGTATCCCCAAATATTTTTGCACTTTAAGCGAGATAGATATACATTTGGCGTTGAAAAGAGAGAAAGCGAAGATGCTGAATACAAAAAGTTCAAACAACGCAAACAGGGCCAATGTAAACTTACAGTAATCTGAAGATGTATTTTCATTATTTTCCCAAGGAGCTTAATTTAAAAAAAAGTGAGAGATTGCTTTGAAAATGACCAAAACAACTTCTCAATATATGTGCGTTTGTTCAAAGCATTTTATATCTCAAGACCACTTTTTAGGAGGCAAATTAATAAAATTAATAAAAAAAACTGTCTGTTACACTTATATTTATACATCTGTTGATATTCTTTTGAAATGTTTTTATTGAATAGTGATATACGAATATACATATACTCCATCTTTGCATGTGTTCTTCAAGTTATTATATTGCTGTTCATAGGCTGTTTTTTAAACTTTTAATTGATTTTAATTTAGAGTTAAAGAGGGTCAAGTTGTTTCCAACGTCTGTACACTCTCAAAACATTCCACAGTTGAGTTTTGAAATTGAAATGACATCACCTAAAAACGCCAAATAAAAGCTAGATTATGTCGAGTTAAATTGCGAGCTGAAAAACAAAGGTTTGTATTCATTTATTTGTCTTACAAGAAACCTACTTGCAACCATAAATCGATATTGTAAGTTTTTTGTCTGTTTCTTTATTTGATAAAGTACTTCCTAAAATGTATCCCTGTTGCTTCATAAGTAAATGTAACAACTGAATCCAGAAAAACAGGGTCGCTAATGCCAGCGATATTTAAACTTTGAGAATTCATAAAGTGAGAACTCAAAAAGTTCTTATTGAAACAGGATTTAACCATCGTTTTAAAAACGTGTCCACATCGATTACAAGAATATGCAATAAAAAATGGGGGTTTATAATTAAGAAATTTTAAATAGCCTTGATCTAATCTAAGGACATCTTTTTGAAGTGAGCTAAGATTATCATATTTTTTTCCTCTAGTAGCTAAGCAACTTTTGTTTGAAACATTTTTGTCTTAAACTTAAGAATTTTAAGATATTCTAATGAATAATGCACTGTGGCATCTTTTTATTATCTTTTTTGCTAATGGAAATGTTTATTCCACTATTTAAAACTTCTTCACCTCACGCATGGGTCTCACAAAGCCTTGCTTTTTCTGCATTTATTATGGATAACATTTTAAAAATAAATGTAAAAAGTCGTTTAACTTCATATAAAATAATTTACGACCGCTCTAGTTCGTCTGCTTTATGCTAGTTCCACACCTCGTCACTATAAGAGCTCTCGAGAAATCTTTGCGTCGCCAATATACTGTGTACTATCTTTGTTGCTTAACTACAATGATATGTATTATTTGTATAAAAGATTTGATATCGACAACTGGTATCAAGTTAAATTCCACAAAATTTTATGTATCATTCGTATAAAAGATTTGATATCAACAATTGTCGTCAAGTTAAATGCCCCATACCAAATTGAATAAATATAATATTAACTGTAATGATATGTATCATTTGCATAAAAGATTTGATATTATAAGAACTGGCACCAAGTTAAATTCCACATTTCTTTTTACGAAGAATAATGTAAAGTAATATACGCTGAATTTTAAAAATTTTTGATTTACACAGAGAACAATGTAAAGTAATATAGATTAGAATTCTAATAATTTCTTTTTACACGGAAAACAATGTAAAGTAATAACGTGTGTGAAGTTGATCCCGCACTTTTCGAATTGTAGATTTTTCATGGTTGTGCTACGTTTGTGCCACATTGTGCCGCAAACCGCAACTCAATAACATAAATCGTTTTCCAAAAAAAAGAAAAGTTTTTTTTTGCTAGCCCCGGACTTTTCGAATTTTGGATACTGCTTGATTGTGTTGTATTGTGCTGCATTTGTGTTACATTGTGCAAACCGCAACTCAATGAACTATTGAACTACACGAACCACATGAACCATTTTTCAAAAAAAAAATTATGCTGGCCTTAGGAAATTTTAGGAATGAGAAACTTTAAGCCTGTGTAACTTGCGAACGGTGCAAGATAATCGAATTCTGCGAGTTGTGCTATGTTGTGCTACTCAAAATCTACGTGGAACGTTCATAAAAAGTTTAGAATGGCAGGAGAGACGACAGAAATTGTTGAAATCCTGGTGACAGAAAATAAAAAAAATTAACATTTTTGAATTTTTTTAGTTGTGCCGAAATGTGCTACGACAGTACAACAACTTTTCCTAATGGTCAAATTTCCTCAAATCAATAGATTTTGCGGTATCGACGAAGTTATGCATCAGTCGTTAGGAATTTTTAGGAACGAAAAACTTCAAACTCGTGTAAATTGCGAACGGTGTGAGATAATCGAATTCTGCGAGTTGTGCTGTATTGTGCTACTCAAGATCTACGAAGCACGCGTATAAAGAATAGGGATTAGCTATGGCGTTGATAAAAATTTTTTATAATGTCGGTGATAAATAAAGCATTTGTCATTTTTTAATTTTCTATAATTGTGTCTGATCGAGCTGGAACCTAACCAAACAACATTTTTGAATGACAAAGTATCATCAGATGACTTGTTTCTTTACACAAGGCATTCTTGCTATTCCTGGCCTTATAAATGTTCAAAGTTGATGTATATCGCCGACATATGCGTTATACGGTGTACGCCGCTGGAAGATTGCTCGGGCTTTTTTCAAAACTTTTACCGAGTCTTAAGCTAATCTGAACTTTTTATGCGCGTGCTTCGTAGATCTTGAATAGCACAACACAGCACAACTCGCAGAATTTGATTATCTCACACCGTTCGCAAGTTACATGGGTTTGAAGTTTTTCGTTCCTAAAAATTCCTAACGGCTGATGCATAACTTCGTCGAAATCTGTTGATCTGAGGAAATTTTACCATTAGGAAATGTTGTTGTACTGTCGTAGCGCAATTCGACACAATTAACAAAAATCCAAAAATATAAAATTTTTTAATAATAAGATTGGAAGACCGCTTATGTTAAATACATTACTTTAAACTAAGAAGCGCCAATAACAGTCTGAACGTTAAGATGTTGAACTATTCTAAATTCATTTTTAAATGAATTAATTTCAGAAATTATAATTGCGTGCCGATATGGTTGTCGGACTTTCAACGCAATCAAATCTGAAATATTAATAATCCCCCCAAATTTCCCAACTTAAAAACTGTAATAAACTTATTGCGAAAAATAATGCCTCGGCCGGGAGTCGAACCCGGATCTCTTGCATTCCGTGCGAGCGTCCTAAGCCTTTAGACTACCGAGACCTTAGCAATATTCTTCGCAATAATCGATATGTATAGAGAGTTACGCATTTTCGGCGCGCGTGTATAAACAATAATAAGATTGGAAGACCGCTTATGTTAAATACATTACTTTAAACTAAGAAGCGCCAATAACTGTCTGAACGTTAAGAAGGTGTTGAACTATTCTAAATTCATTTTTAAATGAATTAATTTCAGAAATTATAATTGCGTGCCGATATGGTTGTCGGACTTTCAACGCAATCAAATCTGAAATATTAATAATTCCCCCAAATTTTCTAACTTAAAAATTATAATTTCTGAAATTAATTAATTTAAAAATGAATTTAGAATAGTTCAACATCTTAACGTTCAGACCGTTATTGGCGCTTCTCAAATTTTTTAATTTCCCCCACCACGATTTCAACAATTTCTATTGTTTCTTCTGCCATTCTAGACTTTTTATGAACGTAGATTTTGAGTAGCACAACATAGCACTACTCGCAGAATTCGATTATCTTACACTGTTCGCAAGTTACACGGGCTTGTAGTTTTTCATTCCTAAAAATTCCTAAGGCTAGCATAAATTTTTTTTTTGGAAAATGATTCATGTTATTCAGTGCGATTTGCGGCACAATGCGGCACGAACGTAGCACAACACAGCACAATCAAGAAAAATCCAAAATTTGAAAAGTGCGGGGCCAACTTCACACACGTAAAGTAATATATGCTAGAATTCTGATAAATTTTTTGGAATTGGTAGGTTTATTGTATTATATATAACGGTACTTTTTATATTTCGTTTAATAAAATCAAAAAAGAATCCAAAACTCGGAGCGAATGAGAGGAATTCGTAAAATAATTTATAAATTACCATACATCTCAATAGAATTTATCTACGATTATTGACAAAATTTACTTTACTGCGTAATAATAAATACAAGTGTGTAAAATTTTCGAGAAGTACTTATGAAAATATTACTTGATGATCTTCGATTAAATTAATCGGTCCAGTCACCTTTAACGTTTAAATAGTTTGACTCATTACTGATGGTCACTACTGAGAAGTAGTGTATCGGTCTGCACTATGACTACTTGGACAAAGAGGAAGTAGTAACTCTCTGCAAAGTTTTCTCATTAACTCTAAAACGTAACTCTCTCAAAATATATAACGATAGTAAATATATTTTACGTTATGTCTATACGCACCACATACACGCATTACATTTTACATATTATATCTGTTTAAATAATATTTTAATTACTTGTACGAATTTATAAAGAACAAAAAGTTTTTGATCGCCGAGTTTTCGTATCTTTTTCCGATAGAAATCATTGAAACTCTAGCGACTCGCAATGCTCAAGTATGATTTCGCGCAACATTTTTTCCAATTCTTTTAACTAAGAGATGCTCTTATTTAAGCGGCAAAACGATAATGCTGTTCCTTTCTATCGACGAGCAGCGAAGTTGCAGCGAGACGCAATTCTCTGTGCGATGTCCACGCAGGAAATTGCAGTGAACTTTTAACGATGACTATACGTAGCCAACACGAAGGCATCGTCGGTCGCCCTCGGACGTCTTCGGGCGTCGCGTCGACATCCTGTCGGTTCCGTTGAGGCGCAGCCGACAGTTGGTGGCATGACGTCGCGATAGATATTTCATATCGAGTGTTCGTTTCTACGCGGTTGATTCTTAGTTTCCGTACTTAACAAAAAGAAAAAAGTTTGATAATGTAAATATTCCCATGATAAATTGTTTATACGTGACTATCTCTCATCGAGTTGGAAGACTTCCGGCAAATGGAGCACTTTGCGGAAATCCTTGAGAGCTTACGGTGGTTACGCGGTTGACACTGATGGTTTGTATGACGAAAATCTTTTGTAGAAGATATCAATGTCCGCGATCACGAGCTATCGTGAATAGATTAGGTATTAAACGAAGCGGGTGCTCGCATGCGAGAGTCTCGGAAGAGATAAATTTAGCAATAGAATAATCCTGACTTGCTCGAGTAACAAGAAAGATCATTTATTATTTTATGTATTAAATTTTCTTAAGGAATTTAATAGAGGCAAAAGAGAAAAAGTTACTCTCTTTGCTTAAATGCGTAAGCACAACTGTAATCAAAGAATATTTTCATATAATAAAAATGTGCATAATATAAATATATTTTTACACATGCAAAATTTCGCGGTAAAAATTTAACCGGATATAAATTATTCTCTGGAGAAAAAAATGTGTACATGGAGACAAAGATGGCATATGACGGAATACACTACGAGTTTATTCTTATTCGAATGATTAAAAGACCTTATTTATTAATGGTGAAAACATTTTCTTTTTCTAATGAAAATGTCTTTTCTCGAAAAAGAAGTGGGGAAATAGAAGTAAATGTAGTGCAACCTTTGGCAGAAGAAGATAAAGAACCTCTCATTTAAGTAACAAAGTAGAGGTCTTCGGCTTCGAATATATTATTAAAAATCCATCAAAATTAGCAGGAAATGGAGGCAATTCCCTTCACGAAGATACGAAAGGAAGATGGCTATAGCGTGTGAGGGTGTGGCAAATTTTTGGATTATTCAAGTGATTCGAGAGGACATTTATTTTTATATTTAGTAAAATACTGTGCTGTAAAAGTTCAATGAAGATGTAAGTGATCACGCGATGCAGGGTGGAAAAGACGTCAGGCGCAGGTGCATACGGAAAGGGAAATAAAGGTCTTTTGCCATTATTCGATCGCCAGAGAAGAAAGTTTTTTGTGGTACTTCCGATGTAGATTATCATCATGTTCGCACTTGGCACAAAATCCGAATGAAGCCTCTTCTTTCTTGAGAAGCGAAAATTCGGTTATCATTCATTGAATAAGCATTGTATCATGGAGAGAAATGATACTTCGATATTACTTACTGGAAAAGTAATTTAACGTTATTAGGATGTTGTGTCGTATATTGCTTCAGACAAAGGAAAAGGAATTGTAAATTATCATCGAATATTCGAAAGAAAATATTTTCTATTGTATCATCAGAATTCGCGGACAGAAAGCACGCTAATCGAACATTTGGGTTGGTCCATACACGCAGGATTCTCTTTTGCCTATACTTTTTGCAAGCAGTTTTATTTTTCATGCATAATCTTGATTATGTATTGCGTTTCTATTTAAATATATCACTTCAATTCTATATTTCACATCTTCCTATGACGTTATAAAAATTCTAAAAAAAAGGAAAGAATAAGGCGTTAAATATAGGTAGGTGCGCTGCTCGAACAAAAAATCGTTATACCATGAAAAGAATTTAAATGATATGTAACTTTTTTTAAAAAAAAGTAAAGAATGAGTCGTCAAATACTCGTATACATGTACAGTAAAAAGAATGCTGGAACAAAAAATTGTTGTATCGCAAAAACAAAAATTTTAGTGACATATATCAGTAAAATCAAATATAAAGTTACTTATTTGAAGAAAATTAATGAAGGAGACATCAAATATATGAGCGCTGCCCAAACAAAAAGCCATTGTACTGTAAAAAGAGTTTAAGTGATATGTACAAAAAAGGGTATCAAATATGAATAAATTACTCGAACAAAAAACTGTAGTACCAAATTTAAAAAAGAAGCATTTATTATTTGTAAAAGATTTGAAATAAAAAATTAGCGCCAAGTTATAATTCTATAAAAAAAGCGTTTTCCAATTGACACGTATATTATTTGTATAAAAGATTTGATATTAATAACTGACGCCAAATTTAATTCCAAGGAGTATGTGTATTTTCAAAAATGATATGAAGCATTTAAGTTGCACTAATTGTAGAAAATTATTAAAAAATGTAACTTTTAATTTAAAAAATAGAACTTAAGTATGTGTGTGTACCTATACAAAATTTTTCCTGTTCTACGCCAAATGTGGTAGAAACTATTTAATCTTCCTTTAAAATATATTACAAAATTGCATTATCTTACTCAACTCAAGGGTTATCACAAAGAATTAAGGACGTAACAGTACAAAATAAAAAATTTTTAATGAATTAAAAAATGTTTTATGCAAAACAACTTGGCGCTACTCGACTAATAAGGGAAGTTTCACACCTGTCCGGAATCGATTTGATTCTCCATGAAATATGTTATAAAACATGAAAATCTGTAGAGACACGTATTTTTTATACGTGTGCTAATTCATGTTTAAGGGATGAAACACCCCTTTGAAAAAAAACGGTATTTTTCTTTCGAGGCGAATATCGTCGGAAGTATAAAAGATAGAAAAAAATTTTTTAAACAAAAGTTGTACGGTTTTAAGAGAAGGTACTTTAAAATTATAAAGAAAAAAAATTTTTTATTCTTTTGTTTAACAAAATACCACCACCACCCATAATTTTCTTAAATTTTCAATTTTTTTTACCAAATTAAAGATTATTTATTTACGAATTCAATGTGTAATAAAGTTACATTACGACATTTCATTTTCGAGAATTAATTATTAGTGCTTCTGTATATACGCTATCCATGCTCATATGCGTAAGTAATTGTCGTCGGAACAATAAAATACATAAATCAACGAATAGGGAAATTGACATAATTGATATTTGTAATATTACAAATTATAAATAATGTTAAGAGTTATAATAATTTTTATTATTTCTCTGAAATTTTCTTAAAGTGAGTAAAACTTTTTTATTTATCTCTGTATATATACATTACATCCTTATAATATCTTAAGATTATTCTCTTAAAGTTATTTTCAGTTTTACGCATTAATATCTTACTTACTTGTCGTTTATGTAATACTTTATAAACGTACATGATAATGAAATAATTTCTAAATGTTTATACACAATAAAGGAGGAATCTTCATAAGGGCCGATTTCGACACTATCCAGATTTTGTTCAAACACACAAAAATCTATTTCTTGAGGTCAATTATATTCAATTAAAGAGATTTTAGCTTAAACGAAATGATGGTGTTGCTATAGGAGTCTCCATAAGACTGGTTTTCGACCTAATTTCAATTTCATTTTAAATAATCGGAAACGTTTTATTATTGTAAGAATTATCGAAATCAGGTGATTTTAGCTTAAACGGACGTATTTGACGCCTGTTATCTTGTAACTAGTCAGCCCTACATTTATCACCAGCACTCTTATGGTTTTAATCTTTTCAACGTATTTTATACACATACGTATTATATGGGAATTCCTAGATAATACGTATAGTGGACATACCTACTTCTTTATCAAAAGATTTTCAATTTATTTAAATTTTTTCTTGTTTAAAATTTTGTTCTTTAAAAATTTATACGGATTTCTATTAGGTAATAATAATTCTCTCTGTCAAAAATTATTACTCTTCGAAAAAAATTAATGTATCAAATGAAAAATTAAAACCCAGATGCTACAATCTTAACTAATCAAGTTAAATTCTATCAAATTAAAGAGTAAAATACAAATGTGGTACCGTCCCTTCTTATTTATACAAACTTACCTTTTTAAAAAAAGGTAAAAAAAGTGCTAAGAGTGCGTGCTTTTCGTAAAGAATCATTTGGGCCGATTTCATCAACGCCAATTACTTAATTGACCATGGAATTGACTAATCGTGTTTGCTGTTTAGTACAATTGACCACTTATGGTTGATAATTAATCACCGATTCGGCTTAATCGAGTTGGTGAAACTGGTCCTTTCTGTATAATACTAACACTACTAACAGTATTAATATTGTAAGTATCCAACCCAATTAATTATAGTTTTAATTTTTCTTCACAAGGATATTCTTATTGAAGGTCTTTTTATTCCAACCCAAGTAATGGCAACTTTACTTCTCTGTCAAAAATTATTACTCTTCGAAAAAAATTAATATCAAATGAAAAATTAAAATTCAGACAATTGCTACAATCTTAACTTTAATCAAATTAAATTTTATCTGTATCACACACACAATTTAAAAAATAGAACACAAATGGTACTGTTTCTTGTTATTAACTTTACTCTAATGATATGTATCATTAGTATAAAAGATTTGATATCAACAATTGGCGCCAAGTTAAATTCCATGTAATTCGAATACCAAATTAAATAAATAATATTAACTTTAATGATATGTATCATTCCTATAAAAGATTTGATATCAAGAACTGGCGCCAAGTTAAATCCCACTTCTTTATATCATGCTAAATAAAATAAATAATTATTAATCTAATAATATGTATTATTTGTACAAACGGTTTGATACCAATAACTGTGGTGCCAAGTTAAATTCTACTATTAAAATAAAAAGTAAAACCCAAATGATACTATCTTTAATTTTTATACAATGAAACTTAAGTACATACGTATATCTTATTGAAGAATCTTCCTATTCCAATCCAAATGATTTAAATTCCTCTTAAATGAAATTATTATATCACAATTCTCATTCAAAGACATTTTCTCTTCTGACTAAAATAGTGGTTATTTATTTCTCTTTCAAAACATTATACAAAACATTATCACAAAATTACGTTACCTTGCTCAATTCAAGTGTTAAAAATTACTAAAGAATTAACCATATAAAATGAAAAAAATTTAATTTAAATAGAAAAATTTTTCATGTAAAAATGCTTGGCGCTGCTAGATCGAGTAAGTATTTTAAAGTAATAATAAAAGTAATAATACAAGTAATAATTTACAGTAAAATAATAAAAATAATAATAAATTTAATCTGAACTTTACACTGAATAAGAATAAAGTTTACTATTTATTTCTCTTTCATAACGTATGTCTTACAAATCTAAATTTATTTATCTTAGACTTAATATCTTAGACATAAATTTAATAGCATTCACAACGTTCATTATAATTTACATGACTCTATAACTTAATCGCATATATACATAT